GGACGCCGCGTGCGATTACTGTCCCATTAGTGCTGCTATTTGTAATCACACCAGCTTGCTAGACTTTGGCAAATATACGGTCTGTAATGTATCCCCTTGGAACCTTCCTAGCCCCATCCGAGGCAGTCTTCAGGATGGTTCCTCCCAGCCCCGACCTTGCAGAGCCCCCAGACCATTCTGCTCGAGGAGGCTGGGGCGTGCTGGGGAGGGTGGAGGTCCTTGGTGGCACCGTGGCTTCTGCTGCTGCCGCCACCGGCGCTTTGAGGCCAGAGCCAAGAACAAGCTGAGTCGCGAGGACTCTCACTTGTGCATCCCCCTTTGAAAAGCAAGACACTTACTGTTCATAATTTAAAATCCCGCCGAACTTGAGGAGCATTAGAATTCCTAGACTATGACTGAGTATTAGTGTGCGTCTGCTTTAAATGTCAAGAGAGTCTTTAATAACAACATGTGAGGAATGTTAAGATGGTGACGGAGCACAATGGAAGTAGGGAAATTTCCTTCCACTGGGGTGAAATGAGCCATGGATTGCCCACCACCTGAGTGCTGCCGTGGTGGCAAAGAAATCCTTTCAGAGCTTTCACAGAGACTAGGCTGTGAAAGTATGTGGATTACCAGAGTTTCATAAAATGAGTCAAAAATAAGTAAATGCTCAGGGTCCGGTGCGATAGCATAGTGGCTAAAGTCCTCACCTTGCACGCGCCGGGATCCCATATGGGCGCCAGTTCTAATCCCGGTGGCCCCGCTTCCCATGCAGCTCCCTGCTTGTGGCCTGGGAGGGCGGTTTAGGACGGCCCAGAGCCTTGAGACCCTGCACCCACGTGGGAGACCTAGAAGAGCTTCTGGCTCCTGGCTCTGGATTGGCTCAGCTCTAGCCATTGTGGCCATTTGGGGAATGAACCATTGGACGGATCTTCCTCTCCGTCTCTCCTCCTCTCTGTATATCTGCCTTTCCAATAAAAAAAATAATAAGTAAGTAAATGCTCAGTCTGGGGGGAGAATGTCAGTTCAGCTCCTTCCATCTGGGCTGCCCTTTCTCCTCCGCTCCCCACACCCCGCCCCCCTCCGCGCCCCGCCCCCCCGTCCCCCTGTGCCCCGTCCCCCCCGTCCCCCTCCGTCCCCCTCCGCCCCCTCTCTAGTTTCCTTCTTGAGCTGCAGGTTAGAGACCTGGGTAGCGGGGGCAGTGCTGCCCGTCAGGCCAGTCTGTGTACATCACGGTTGTCTGCGGAGCTGGCTGTGAGTGTACAGGTTCGGGTGAGCCCCTGGGTGGTTAGATGTGGGATCCCTGTGTCGGAATTACCCCATGCCTGCCCCTGAGGTGAGCCTGGGCACCCCTGCTCGCCTGGTGGTTCGGGCTGAGTGCTTGGATGGCTGCGCGTGGGGGGTGGGCAGATCTGGCCTGCCCTCTTGCCCGAGGCGGTCCTTCGGAGAGCCCACTGTGTGAGGAGGTCAGACCAGGCGTGCTGCAGCCAGGGCCCGGCTCTGCCACCCCTCCTGGCTGAGACCTGCCGCACTCCCGGCTTCTCAGTGACCACCGGCCGGAGTCCTGCGGATGTCCCACGCCTTTGCGGTCTGAAGCCGGGACCGGCAGAAGAGGGGGTCACCCGTGTCAGCCAAGGGGGGAGCAGTTGCTCAGGATGAGAGGAAAATGCAGGGAGGACTCGAGAGACCCGTGGGAAGGGAGCACCACTACACCCTCCTCCCCAAGCTTTCTCCTCCATTTTTGAAACCAGGAAGGTGTTTGTTCTTAGCTGCTCTGTCAGCTCCGTGGAGCCCCTATGCTGTGTCCGCATCCCGTAGACTGTCATTGTGTATTGGAAAGAGTTAGAGGAGAGACACAGATCTTCCTCATGTTGGTTCACTCCCCAAGTATCCGCAAGGACCCGAGCTGAGCTGATCTGAAAGCGGGAGCTTCTTGGGGTCTCCCATGCAGGTGCAGGGTCCCAAGGCTTTGGGCTGTCCTGGACTGCTTTCCCAGGCCACAAGCAGGGAGCTGGATGGGGAGTGGAGCAGCCAAGTGCTAACCGGTGCCTATATGTGATCCTGGCGTGTGCAGGGCGAGGACTTTAAGCACTAGGCTCCCGCTCAGGGCTCTCCACAGCTCTTTCAAAAAACCAACAGTCAGGGACAGGTGGGCTGGGTGTCAGGGAGGCACCAGCTGCCACGCCAAGCCTGCGCCGTGTGCAAGAGCAGATCTTGCTGTCAGAAAAGCCCCTCAGAGTTCTTAGGCACCTGCTGCACCCTCAGGAGAAGCCACATCCTCCAGAAGCGTGCTGCATGGTGAGGCCAGTGTCACTGAGCGAGGCGTGACTTGTGCCCGCGTCCAACGGGGGTCACCCTCCACCGTCCCAGAGAACTGGTGGCTGCACTTGCTTCCAGGAACAGGCCCCACATGAGCAAGCTCCCTCGCGCAGGGCCCAGTGCTCTCCTGCCGGGGAGGCTCACCTAGAGCCGGTCTCTGTTGGTCCTGCAACGTGCATTAGTTCAATTTCCATTTACCTGCCGAGTTCTTACTCGGCCTATGGATTGAATTCCTCAGTCTGCCTTTCTCAGGATTCGCAATGCGGGAGGCAGTGCTGGAATACACTGGCTCATATTAAATGTTGGTCTTCTCATTTCCTAACAATGAACTGGTGCCGTGAATATTAACGGGAGTGGTGAGATCGTGTAATGATGGCATTACAAGTAATCAAGGAGGTGAATGACTTTTGAAGGGCCAGTGAGTGTTACACATGCAAGACAGCCGTCGTAGGGGGAGGATGTGGTTTCAAAGGGTGTGGATGTTTAGCTTATTTGTGTGTGCCTAAAAGCATAAAAAGTTAATTTGGCAGAGTTTTTTTTTTTTTTTTTTTTTGCCTGCATTGTTTAAACAATTGGTATTAGAGCTCTCATTGATTAAACGTAAAACTTATCTGGGAATATGATATTCCTCTTGTTACAACCAAAGAGTTGGATTTCTGCCCCCCTCTTTTTTTATTTTTTGTAACCTTGCCCACCTCGTAGAAAGGCAGAGCTAGAAGAGTAGAAGTGAGGCCCCTGGATAATCCTTGGAATTCTGTGTCCCGGTTGGAAAGTAAGAAAACGCTCCCTCCGGCAGTCACCCTGAAGGTGACGGGTGTGGCTGTGTGCACACATCCTATGTGTGTCTGCCAAGTGCTGCTTTGACCTTGAACTGGCCAGCCGAAGGTCAGCCTGCCACAAGGACTCCACAGAAGGCCATTCCTTTTGCTCTTAGGGATCTGCGTTTGTCTTTTGCCAGACTTAGCCTGTAATTGCAACATCACTGCTGTTTGCTCCTCAATTAAGTCACAATTAATATTCAGCAGACTATTCAGTAAATATCACTTCACACCCTTTAACTTGGATTGTTGAACGTGGCAGACTGCTTGTTTTTTAAAGAGAGTGACATATATGCCTTCATTCCCTCTACCCAAGGATAATTTTCAAAGCAAGAGCATTTTCTAAAAATCTTAAGAATATTTTTGTTTTGGCAACAGACAACTTAGGGTACTTGTGTTTAAAAAATAATAATAAATGCACAAAAATGCCATTTCCAACATTTTAATAGTCCTGAGACACTTTAGGAAACTAAATTCCTTTGGCATTATGTGTTCAGACAAATCTTTGAGTTTGGCTGTTCAGTAACTTTCTGAAGAACAGAGGATGAATAATAAAATGGCTCCTAATACAGTATCATTTTCATTTCCTGTTTGTTGAGAGATAAATGCTAACACTGTAGAGCTTCTTTTTTTCTTAATATATTCCTCCCTGAATCACAAGGGAATGAAAGGGAAAAAAAAAAAAAAAAAGAAAACCAAATGCGATAGGGCTGGAGAGTGAGTCATGGGTTGGGATGAGCAAAAAGATCCTTCCCTTTCTGCCCTCCCTGTTTCCTTCCTCCCCTGCTGCTGACCTCCTTTCCCCTGAAAGAGCTATCGAAAAAGGTGAAGCATATTTGATTATTAAATCTTTTACAAATCAATTAGCTTTATGTAAGTCTGAGGTTATTTACATTACCATGGGAGAAATGCACCCCTTCTCAGCTCCACACTATCACTCTGGACAAGTAGTTTAGCAGAGTCCTGAAATAAAACAGTGTGGACCCGCCAGCTCACTCTCTCCTCCCGATCAATTTCTTGCACAATTTCCCTAAAAAATCACAGCTGTTCTCTTAACTATACCTTGATCATATTCTGAGGACATATTTCTCACTTTTTTTTTTTGAGAATTAATTATGTCCTCTATGCCCAGCTGTTTTAAATTACTAAAACTAGTGTGTCAGGCTGATCAAAAGCAAACATAAATGCGGCATCCACTTAGTACTCGCATGCCCGCTGTGTGCATCCAATCAGACACTCTTGTGACTTCTGAAGATATTTTTAATAGAGTGATGAGTCTCGAAGTATTCAAATGAAAGTGACATAGAGCAGATACATACATACTGAGCAAATGAGTAAACACAGTCCGTCAGTGTGTGCTCTGGCAGCCCTGCTGGTACCTGCTAACGCACTTGCCAGCACTGTCTTAGTGCCTACCTGTGAAGAAAGAGAAAGATAATTTTGCATAAATGTATCCATCTGTCTAGGTTTTTTTTTTTCCCCTCTGTCTAGTTTTCCTTCTACAACTACAACAGGTGCGTTCACGAGCTTGAGCTGCCTAGCTCGGTTTCCTCTGGCATTCTCAGATTGGTCAATAGGCGTGATTCACCTTTGCCAGTCAGCTGTCCACGTGACATTGGACTCCTTGGTGCCGGCAGGTCTAGAACTTCCCAGTTAAAGTCTCTTGCATGTTGTTGTATTGAGAAATCGCACACTGACATGTCCGGGTACTTGGAGCTTGGCAATGGTCATAAAGATTTCAAAAAAATGAATAAGCCATGAAAATGAGTTTTATCATGTGTTACAGTGCCATTGTTCATTGGAACATGTAGCATTTGGGGTGTTAAAGATGGTAATGAATCTGTATTCAAAGAAATAAAATAGCATTTTTCTTCCTACTAGCTTGCAAAAGACAAAGAACGCCTGCAAGCCATGATGACCCACCTGCATGTGAAGTCTACAGAGCCCAAAGCCGCCCCTCAGCCCGTGAGTACCAGCCCTGCCGCTGAAGGCAGTGCGCGTGCGCCCGTGCACGGGTCAGGGCAGCTGACCTCAGTGGATTGGGGTATTGCGTGTATTGAGGCCTTCGCTGGTCCCCCGTCCTGATGAAGGTGGTGGGCCGTCCATCTAGCGGAGATGGGGGGTGATTCAGACGGGGTCCTTGGCCCCCGAGGCCCAAGCAAGCAGCTCTTCCTTGGGACAGAGTGATTGGTGCCAAATCAGAGTGCTGAAGTACATTAGGAGGACCACGTGCTGGAGAGTAGTAAAGTTTGTCAGGAGTCTGAAGTGAAAATGACCCCTTCACCGCTCGGGGACCAAATATGGTGCCCTGAGACTGCTTAGGAATCAGTGCTCCGGGATCTCTTGTGAAGTGACCTGCTTTGTTTTACTAGACCTTGAAGGACGCCATTCTAGCACAGGCGGCTCGTGTCAGAGCAGAAAGTTGATGCCGAATCGCCCAGTCCTGTCTTGGGACTCATTCCTTGTAATCAAATTCTTTAACTGTTGGATTTCTAATTTTCCTACGTTGGTAAAAATCTAGTAGCTTTAGCTGATTATTCAAAATGGAGACAGTGCTTTGCTTCTTGATTTTAAGATTTGTAAAATTTAAAGGTACACTGCCTTTATTTGATTTTGCTTGGAGTCACTGTGTGAAAATTAATTGAGCGTTGACAATCTATAGTTAGTACCGGCAATTTTAATCAATATGCAATGATGCAGCATAATGGCAAAGTATTGGTTTATCTGTTTTGACTGATTTTTTTCTATAAATAAAGCAAACATACACCCATAGATGTATGATTTATGGTGATAGAAATAAAACGGAGTCAGACTATTAACCCAGCAAATATGGTAGCCTGCCAAGATGCAGTTGGCAGACAAAATTAATGTCTGAAACAGAACACATTACTGAGATATAGGACATAAAATCATTAAACACTTCGCGCATCCATTTTTACTAGGAGCGTGTTGTTAGTTTCCATGTATTTCACAGTAAATGGGTGAAGAACTGGATACATGGGTGACCAAAAAGAAAGGGGAAGAGGACCCGGGCCACGCAGTAATGTGGAGTCGGGTGTGGTCAGCAGTGTTGCCCCCAGCAAGCCCTCCTCTTAAAGAACATGAATTCAAGTGGGCAGATTGGTAGTGCCGTGGAACGAGTTGGCTGAGCTCACGGACAGGCAGAGCTCATGGCAGAGGGTGCCCCTTGCCTGGGAACTCCGCACAGGTCTCCGGGGGGCCGTGAGGAGCCCTGTTTCCTGTGACTGCATCCAGCCACGAGGGAAAGCGTGAGGTGGAGGAACTTGTTCCTCCGTGGCTTACCGGCAGCCGTGAGAGCTGACAGATGCAGGGCTTGGCACTCCGGCCCTGGAATTGTTTTGGAGTCTGGGGCGCTTGGTGAAGGACAGGAGAAATTGCAGTGCATGGCTGGCACCGCGTGCGCGTGGGGCTGGGAGTGGGCAGGCGGCAGACACAGGTGAACCCACGGCGGCCAGTGGTCAGCAGCTGGTACAGGCAGCTGGGGGAGACACGAACGGAGAAGGAAGGTTTACCTTGATTAGTATTTTTTAAAAAAGTGTTTTACATTCTAGAAAATTATAACTTTGAAGGGGACCTCCTACTAAATTTATTTTTAACTGCTCTATTGAAAATTCTCTACCACTAGTCAACATTATCTCTTAGTAGCTCAGCACAGTATTTCTTTATTAAAAGAAATAGGCACGAATATTTTTGACTGAAAAATTAATAGCTTTTGAATTCATACACAGCAGGTTTTCTTTTGCAAAGAAGTCCAATATCGCACTTCTGTAACCATGTATTTAGAGTCCAAGTCAACCCTTTGACAGCTAGAGCAGCGCTACAAGCCAATATAAAGAACTCCAAGATGTAAACCAACAATAGGCCGTCTGTGTGAGGTTTGCCATTGTCAAATACATAGATTGTTTGGATTAGTTTATGTAAATGTACTGTTGTATTACCCTTTGAAAAAAAAAAGATCCCATTTGTATATGAAAAGTGGTTCCCTTCACAGGCGGCATTATAAATTCCTTATCCTTTAACTTACATGTAAGAAGTAAAAATTGGTGCCTGACAAGCAGATATTGTGTGACACTCTGTTGTCGGAGTGAACCCTGCCTTCTTTTCATTTATTGGAAAATAGAAAATTTTATTATAGATACCATCTTATAAATCAGGAATTATTAAAATATGTATAGGTGAGGCATTGGGAAATTAATTATAAAAGGTAGACATGCAATGTTTTGCATAAATTTTCATTTCCTTGTCAAAAAAAAAAGGAAAGAAAGAAAGAAAGAAAGAAAAGGCTGGGTGGGTGGTGGGGGCACACGGGCGGCAGGCCCTTGGTGCCTCCAGCCCGAGGGCCCTGAGCTGTCTGGGCACCGACCCTGATGCGAACGCGGTGCCAGCAGCCTCTGATTTACGCTGCCTATCCTAAATAGCGGAATGCCTGGTGTGTGTGTGGATGAGTATCCTTCTAGAATCTGCGATTTCAAACAAACAGTCCCTGGGATTGTAATCTAGCCATAGATGGGGACTTTCATGTTACAACCTTGCCAGTAAGTTTATGAAGTTTTTCTTTTTCCATTTCTGTTTAAAAAGGACCTCGTTGTTTATTTAAAAATTCTTAGTCACTAAGTGATAGAATGCTTTGCTGTAAATGTTGTCTTTCACTAAATGCCATTTGGGTGGTAAGTGTCGCTCGCTGTATCCAAGCATCCAACCAGTTCCCGTTTCGTTGCCTCAGAGAAACTGCCAGAACCTTGCACTGTTGTTACATCAGGCCAGGGACGCACTTTCTGGATCCTCTTGTGGAACTCATGTTCACATTTGGATAGTTAGAGGACAGGCTCATCCTGGAAGGCGCCCAAGTGTTCAGATGTGGATCTGAGCCTGCTGCGCGCTGGGCCAGAGGGCCCGGTGAGCTGGAGGGAGCGGTCAGAAGGGAGACACGTGGTGCTGCCAGGGAGGGGCGTGGGGTCTTGAGGAACAAGCTTCCCCCCCATAACTGCACATGCCCCCACACTCTCAGGGCACAAACGGTGCTGTCGGCAAGAGGCAGCTGACCGGGAACAGGGCACTTCCGGGAGATCCAGCGGAGAAACTGAGTCCTGAGAGATGGCGAGGAGGTGGGTTCGGTGTGGTCTACACAGCTGTGTGCTGCTGAGGCAGGGCGCTGAGAGAGGAAGATGGGTCAAGAGGATGAGTGTGGAGGGAGGGACTGTCCACATCAGTTGACAGACTTATGCTTAACCCAAGGCTGGTCTCTCTGTGGAGAAGAATCTGGAAGAGTTCATGGCGGCAGTTAGGTCATGGAACAGAAAGGCAGTTCTTGATGCCAGCCCGGAAGTGCCATGTTCGCTGTTATGTTTAAAAGACTCTACTCTTTTCCACAGAAAGATAAGTGAAAGCAGAGAACAACAGGATACTGCCCTGATGACAATAATTAGGACTCTTGTCCCAAACTCTGTAACATCCTCAGAGTAGATGCCAGAACATCCTGTTTTGAGGTTCCTGTCTTCATGCTAATCCCGTGGAGAATGTGTTGAGATTCTGTCTTGAGGAGGAGGGGTCAATTCAGAGGCGAGGACAACACAAGCAGAGAGGCTTGTGGCTTCCTGAGGCTGTGGAAGGTTTCCTGCAAGCTGCTTCGCTGGCGTCCTGTTAGGGAAGTGCTGGGTGGGCAGGGAGCCGCATGCTGGGGTGTCTCGCTGCACCTCCGTGCAGAGCCCTGGGGCCCCGAGAAACCACGCTGTTTCAGAGCTGGTGGGCAGGTCATTACCGTGCTGGTAGTGTATCCTCTTTGATGAAAATATTATAGAACACAATTGGAATGAAATGCAGTACTAGATGTTCCTTTTTGCACATTTTCTCTTGCTCGAACTGTAGCAATCAGGGCTGCTCTGAAATTGTTTTTAGCTACCACAAAAACAAAACGCCTCTCTCAGGGTCTTTTTTAACTCTTCATCAAGGTATGGCCACTCACTCGGGCTGCCAGAGCCTTGCTTTGGATTTGGAGAAATAATATTAGGCAGTCATAAAAAGGGATTGCTAAGCCCCACGCGCAAACGCCATCTTACAGCCTGCTTTTCATGGAATCTCTCCCTCATCAACTTGGGGCAGGCTCTTGGCTTTGTTTGTAGTGTCACGGCCAGTTACACCACCTCCTAAGTCTCTTCCACAGGGACCAGGTGAGATAGAAAAGGCGAGGCCCATCACCGAGGCATCCAGCTGCCATCCACTCCTCCTTCCCACCGCGTGATCGGGTCCCATCCCTGCGGCTTAGTGCACTCGGGCCAGTAAAAGCAGCAGTAGACAAACAAGTTCTGGGAGCCTGGAAGTCCCTCCCGTGCCCACTGTGTCCCTTGGTGTTTTGGTTTCATGTTTGTCTTTTGTTCTGTTTTCCTGTGAGGCAAGAGCACAAACAAAAACAAAAATGAATTCTTATGGGACTACTTAGGACAAGTCTGTTTCTGTCTGGGGTTTACATCAGCGGTTTACTTGCTTATTTATTTATTTTAATGGGAGTGACTCATCTTTAAAAGGGTGAGGAGATTACCAGTTGAAAACAAGAAACTTTTTGTTTTGGTTTTGTTGTTTTTTTTAAGATCCAGCCCAATATTAAATCGCTGATAGTGTTCAAACAGTTTGATGGCAGAGAAATCTAGGATAGGCCTGTGACCAAAGTGGGGGAAAGATGATGCTTGAAAGCACAAATAAATCTAAAAACGCTAACCCTCCAGCAAGTTTAAGTGACATAAGAATTTAACTTTTGGCCAGAGTTTCAAAGAGATTATCTTTGCTGAAATCATCACATGATGGAAAGTTGCCACGTAGAAAATATCAGAGTTACTAACTTTTCTAAACATAGCAACCTCTTTTAAAATAGAAGATGAACATAGAAAGAAAAATCGGGTTTCCATCAGGACAAGGGACCTCCCAGCCCAGTCCCTTCCATGCTCCATGCCCCGGAAAACACGATCTCTTAAAACCAGACTGACAGAAACACCTAACACATATACTTTCATTTCTAATTGATTTTTATTAAGATTGAATAGTTTGCAATGAAGATGAATATATCAAGATTACAAAAAAAAAAAATCCACACCCTTTCTAGTTTGCTCTGTTGCTGTGTCATTGATTTTTGGGGGTCCACTTTGGTCAGAGGACTTAATGAGAAGAGCAGGTTTGGTCTGAAGACAAAGCCTGCTTGGAGCCCTTCCCCAGGCGTGCCCCGTGCCCTCTCTCCCTGTCCCTCCCTCTCCCCCTTCAAAGGCGATTTCTCCTTGAGACAAGCACATGATCATCAAACGAAAGTTTGAAAGTTAAGTAACTTCTATAGCAGTTGACAAGGTTGACATTTCATTAACTTGTTGGTTCAGCCTTCAAATGATTATGTGTGGCAAAGCACCCTGCATTTGGGGTTTACAGTTTTTTTTGTTCTTCCTTCCCTCACAGGCTACAGTCATGTTTAATTTGGAATCTTGGCTCCTTTGGCAAATTAGCAATTAGAACAATTTTGTGGGAATATGTATATGTGTCATTAGTTTTCCTGCAAATTAATAGCAAGGGCAGAGGTCAGGCAGAAATTTTCCACTTGACTGCAGCTCCTCTATTGAGACTTGGCACTTGATTTTGGAATGGCCACAGCTGCTCTCGGCCACCCTCTTCCTCCAGGAACTGTCTTTTAATTAGTTTACCTCATAGCCATCATTACAAATATTACTGCCTCCCCTCCTCGAAATAAAATTACTGTTTCTACAAAATATTCCAGTGACATCTTGCACCACTGCGCATGGATGGTGGGGTCACTCGAATGCAGCATTTAATCATTAGATCACCTCCATCCGTGTCTCCTAATTAGAGTCCTTACAATACATTTTTATCTGGTAATTAGCTGAGATGGGCTGCTTCCTCTGTGGCTTATTAGAGACAGCCCAGCAGTGGGTGTGAATCACCGTGTCATTTGTCAAGCCTGGTAAACCCCTTCTCTGCTCTCCTCTGGCTCGGTGTTTATTTCCATTTGCTACCTCTATTCCAGAGCGTCCAGATCATTGTTCCTGCGTCTCTGTCGGCTCTGCTAGCCTCGAGGGATTATATGCTTTTATTGTTTCTTTCACTGGTAGAAATACTTCAAGTGCTAAGAGCTTTGTGAAAACTTGAGAGTCAGAAATTCTTTTTGCACTTGGTGACACTTGGGGTTTGTCTGTTGTGAGTGTGAGCACCCAAAGAGACGGGCGTGCTCAAGAGGCTCCAGGCCTCCATGACTTTGGACTTTTGACAAACTGGATATGGTTACCTTCTTAAAACACAAAGAGCACATGTATCTAAAGGGGTTGAAGGAAAGAGAAAAAGGGAGGGAGGAAGAGAGAAAAGAAGGAAGGAGAGGAGAGAGAAATACTTTCCATCCCACCACTGTCTACAACAGCTGGGGGACAAGGCAGCTGAAGCCAGGAGCTGCGTCCAGCTCTTCCCGGTGGGTGGCAGGTAGCAAAGAGCTGGACCATAAATTCTGCCTCCCAGGGTGAACGTATAACAGGAAGCTGGATTATAATCAGCAGAAGGACCTGAACCCAGGCACTGTGATAGGGGTTGCAGACATTTCAAATGGTGGCAGAACCACTGTGCCACAATACCCACCTCCATGGTTAGAGGCTATATTTTCATTGGAAAGATAGGTTTACAGAAAGAACAATCTTGCGTCCGTTGGTTCACTCCCCAATGGCTGGAGCTGAGCCAATCAAAAGGCAGAAATTTCTTCCAGGTCTCCCACATGGGTGCAGGGTCCCAAGGCTGTGGCCATCCTCTGCTGCCCTCCAGGCCACAAGCAGGAAGTGAATGGGACATAGGCTCCCGGTGCTTGCAAGGTGAGGATTTAGCCATTGCATTGGGCCCCCATCTCTGTATTTCTTCAGCACATTTACGCTTTTGGTTTTCATTACATCTTTAAGAAGGCCACAGTGTTTAGGGTCACGTTCTGAAGCTGAAGAGAGAGGCCCAAAGTGGAGTCAACTCTCAGGATTTGTGTATGTGTGTGCGTGGTTATTGTACACATTCATCTTTGACCAATCTGTGCTTTTTGATAGTGAGCTCTTTAAGGATGGCAATCATGTATTATATTACTGTCTTCATCATTATGGGATCAACTGCCTTAGGTTTGCTCAGCAAGAATTATTCGGTGTTATTTATGACAGGGATCATAGCTAGTCACTGAAACTTCTTTTTCAGGAGAAAAGACATAGAAAAGTCACACTGGTTAGTGTTTATTTTCTCCATTAGTTAGGTATAAGATGACCACAGGGACAACAATGAAACAAGCTGGGGTTTGCCAGTGGGTTGGGTGGGACTGTGAGCAAGCTGTTTCATCTCTGCATTGATGAGGATATGAGAATGGAATGAAACCAGAGCGTTGGATGTTATAAAACCTGCTTCTTGCACGTGTTGTCTACAACTCCCCGGAGCAGCGTCTGAATCAGGAAGGCTGTGTGTTCATGACCTTGTACTCGTTTTGGTGATCCACTGCTTGAACTGGTTTGTACAGGTACTTGTACCTGGTCAGTAAAGAATGGCCAACTCTAGGAACAGGGCAGCCCCAACTCCTGCGCCTTTGCTTCCCGGCCAAGCCTGCAGGCAGGTGCCTATGAAGTGGCCAAGTCTGTTGACCAGAGCAGCTCACAGCACGTGCCCAGCGTCCTGGGGGACTTGTGAGGGTAGCGCGATGTTCATGGCCTGCTGTTTCAGATGCGGGGGGTCTCTTGTTTGTGCTGCGTGAACATTTCAAGCTCAAAATAGAAAGGGAAGCACAACTTCTAGCATTATGTTTACACTTCCCATTATTATTTCCTCAGTGATTTTTGCTCTTCACTTTCTTCCCTTAGAATTCCCCTCATATTAGATGGCTCTGCCGGGTTTTTCACTTACTGAAGAGTGAATATTATTACTTCCTAGTGGAGTGCTTTTGAATTGGTTCTCTGGCTAGGATCTCAAAGGAAGCTTACTTTGAATGGACTGACTGTGGCAGTGGTGAAACAGAAGAAGTCGGAATTTGCAGGGAGGAGATGTTGCCGAGGAAGGCTGGTTCAGGGCTCTGGGTCTGCAGTGACAGCTCTGTGAAAATGCCGATCCGGACGCTGACCGCAGCCAGTGTTTCGGCATTTCCCAAAGGAAATTTCTGTTAGAACGAATTTTGGAAAAGGAGCGTCCCTCAAGTATTTGTAAAAATAGCAGTGAAAGGCCAAAATAGATCAATCTAAATAGCATTGCATTTGCCTCAATACTATTGTAAGTAAATAAGATTCATTTCTTTACTTAATGTGAATTGTTTCATGTTGAAGTACATTCAACATTTAAAGGGGAAAAAATCTTAAGAGCTTCACTGTTTTGAGTCTCAGCTCATAGATTCTGGTCATAGATTTGAGAGTTTAATCTAATGAAGATTACACATAGAGCTTTTAAATATCGTAACTGACGATTGAAAGGAACAGACGATGGCTCACTGGGGCTGCACAGTCTTTGAGAGGCACTTCCTGTACCCAGGACTTCTCCGTGCTGGAATTGAATGGTCCGCCCTTGGGTGTCTAGGATGCTGGCCGCAGGCCACGGGTCGCTGTTTCAGTCCGTTGAAATTGAAGTTTGATTTTAATAACAGTGGAGGAAAAACAGCTTTTCGTGTGTACTAGCCCGTCACAGAGGTTCTTTTCTGTTGGACTGCCCAGGCCTCTCGCAGCGCATGCCCACGTGTTTGCTAGGACTCCTTGCTGAGGCTGGCGAGGCTCAGTAAGCTGTTAGAGGGTGGGATGTCATGAGTAAGGAACCATCAAGGTTCCGGATTCTGTGAACTCACCAGGCTGCGTAACCCCGTTTCGGTATCTGTCAGCACCCATTTTGCAGCCTTTGGAAACACCTGTCTCGCTGAATGGAGGCGAGAACAATGCAAGCAGCATTTCATAGTAAATATATTAAATGAGTTCCAAACTCGCCCTGTATTTCAGTTAAGTGCAGACAAAACTAGTTGGAGAAAGGACCCCACCAGGCGTCCTCCATTACTATTCTTTCCTGCTTTGTGTGTTTTCTGGAAGGTCCTCTGAAAAGTGTTCTTTTCTTTGCAGCTGAATCTGGTGTCAAGCGTCACACTCTCCAAGTCCGCCTCCGAGGCTTCTCCACAGAGCTTACCTCACACCCCGACGACCCCGACCGCGCCCCTGACTCCCGTCACCCAAGGCCCCTCTGTCATCACCACCACCAGCATGCACACGGTGGGCCCCATCCGCAGGCGGTACTCAGACAAATACAACGTGCCCATTTCTTCAGGTAGCTACTCCAGTCTCTGCCTCGTGTCAAGTTACAACTTGCAATTCTTGCTGATCAGCCTCTTTTTAAAAAGTGATAATTAATAGGACAATGATTCTTATTTAGCAGATATTGCGCAGAACCAAGAATTTTATAAGAATGCGGAAGTTAGACCACCATTTACATATGCATCCTTAATTAGGCAGGTAAGTAAATAATGCAGTACGTGAAATTATATCACAAGGTATACATGTACATGGGTGTATTATATTGATGAAGTAGATATAAAACCGCTTAGTATGCAAGCATGCTAAAACCTTTTCTATAAGGTTTTTAAAAACTGCAATATATAACATAATTGCTTTTGATTAAGTATTACAATACGATGTGATTATTAGGAAATTCATTTCACACAACAGTGAAAATGAGCCTGTTTAAAGATGGCAAGTCAATTATCACAAGCTACAGTAATCTCTGATCCCTAGAATTAATCTGAGCTCTAAATAATTACTGAGCTTTAATCAGCTAGTGAAATGTTTTGCATTTCTCTTTGATTCTGCTTTATGAATGACTAATAAATTAATATTTCTGTACAGAAACAGAAATAAAAACTCAAAACAATTAGATAATTCCATTTTGAATTTTGCTGTTGAGCTGTTTAAATACAACCATTAATCTTAGATCATTTTGTGAAACCTTTGTCAAGGTGTAGCTGTGAACCACATTTATTTTATACCTTCAAGAAACTGGATGATGACAGTTTTGCCAATTTGGTCACAAATTCTCTCCTGTGATGTTTTGCTTCTTAGGCCATTCTTGAATCTCCAGAAAAGCAGCTAACACTAAATGAAATCTATAACTGGTTCACACGAATGTTTGCTTACTTCCGGCGCAACGCAGCCACGTGGAAGGTAAGCTTTCTGTCAGGTCTAGTCTTTGCCTTTCACAGCATGGACTTATATAGACTTTAATTAGACACAGTTGTTGGTCTACAAGGAAATTGTTTTCATAGGAATATGGATATGGGAGATCTTCAGAAAGTTAATGGAAAATGTGTATTACGGAGAGAACTTTCCATGGGTTTAAGAAATTTTTATGTATCCAAATACACTCTTCGTTTGATTCATTCCCCATAAACTCTTTGAAGTATCTCCTTGTGTTATTGGGGAAATTGTGGGGGAAGCAATCAGTAAAATCCCACCTTTCTGGTTGCACTGTGCAGGAAGAGGTGACAGCACTGTGTTGCCCCAGATGCTGACATTGTACAAACCTCCTACTGTTTAGTCTTTAACCGTAGCTGGTATCTGAGAGGTAACTCACTCGCTCACCGTTAGGAACTTGGAATAATGACCCTAGAAACTTGACACAAGCTTCAGTGATGATTTGAAAACTCTCATCAGTCCAAGCACGAGAACTGTCGTGGGGATTTCCTCCAGGAGAATACACTAAGTTTGTTAAAGTCGCCAGATTGTCCCTGAGCATTCCATAGATGCACCAAGAAAGAAAAAGGAGCCTCTAAGCCGTGGGACTTCATTGCTGCTTCCCACAGGTCTCAGCCGGGTACCCCCATGGGAACACACGGCCCATCTCATTCCCACTTGAGTAGCTGATTCACAGACCCCTTGGTATTCTTTCCATTGTATGAGGGTGAGCCCTAATATTTGGACTTTCCTACTTGATATACCTTGGTGTCTGTTGTTTTTGCTTATAGAAGGCAAGTGCACTCTGACATTTATAGCCTTTGTGGTTTCCTGCCTGAAATTCTTGTAATGCTTATGCTCCAAAACATTTAAACACATCGAATGCAAACAGGATCTTTGTGACATGTAATTGGTGAAAATGCGGTAGACACATTCAAAGAAAAATACAAATAATCACAGAATCCATTCTTCAGTTTATTTCCCACATGATCCCCTTTTTCATTGAGACTCACGGGCGGACTCCAGCCCGCCTTTCCTTAGCCTGCACTGGGAGAGAAGCTGCAAAGACACTCTTCAGAATGCTTCACCAAATGTAAGGCTGGAGGAGCAGGGAGCATTTTCTTCAGGTTGCCTTTTATAAATAGCGAATGATCAAATTTAAAAATAATTACCAGTTCCAAATATAATACTTAAGCTGGGATCTTCAGATTTAACTTCTCGATTTTTGCAAACTGCAGGAGAAAGTGTCATTAATATAAACATTCCTACGTGAAGTACTTAATAACTCATAAATACGGGTAATTTTCTCTACGTGTCCTTATTTGTGATCTTAGACAAAAGATGAAAGGCCCTAAGTTATGACTGAAAAGAGCTTACTCATCTTTCTTGAAAATGGTTGATATTATTGATTTTAGCTGCTCTCTGCTTACAAGTACAGTCGTAGAAGACAAAACCCAGCATCTTTACGCAGCACGGCTGTAGGGTCCAGCCAGGTCTGCAGCCATCCTCAGCAGAAGCAGCTCCCTACAGCTCTTTTCAGTCCCACACATGTTGGTACTTATTTTAAAACGCAAGAAAATTATTAGCATTAGCGGTGTTGCCGCCTTTCCCAGATGCGTCTGTTCTGTGTAAACATGCTGTCTGGATTTTTAAAAAGAAATTTGGCTTCGTCTTTTCTTTACCCCTCCCCAGCTTTGCCCCAGGTGACAGGAGACCTGAAGCAGCCTAAACTATGGTTCTGTGCAGTATAAACAAGAAAACTACACAAATCTAGCCTATAAATTTCTAGGCAAAGTAGTTGCTGTATCAAGTATAACCCTGACATTACAAATATTTTTAGTTTTAGAGACTTTTGTTCTTAAGCTAATTCATTGAAGCTTTTTTGAATGAGAAGTGTCCATTAACAGTCACCTGGGTATTTTGAGCTTACCCCAATTATGCTGATACTGCAAAAACTTTGCAAACAGACTCTGTAGGAAAAATTGCCAAACAGTTCATCACACACACAAATATTCCATAGTAGAAGAAAATCATCATGCAGTTGTAAATATCCAGAAAACTGAAACATCTCCCAAAGCATCTAGCTCTGCCACCTTCAGGGGTGCTACAGGTGGTAGAAGGGAAGAGGTGCACAGTGTGTCCCTGGAACTGAGTGAAGGCTTACAAGCCGTGTGAGGGGACTAGCCACCTCTTGTTTCCCAGCTGAATCGTATACCTAGTCTACACAGAAAATCCACGTCAGTGACGTGAGTCTCTTTGTCATAGCTCTGTGTCCAAAGTTGAGTCTGCAACCAGCAGGACAAAAGAAAACAAGCCTGGCTTGTTCCTCTCCCCAGCATGGGTGGGTGGGTTGTCCTAAAACTCAAAGGAGAGTTGAAACACTAGAAGCCTGAACCCTTGAGTTCATATCCTCCTTTCCAGTGGATTATAAATGTCAAAGGCCAAGTTTAGGAATGACTAGAAATATACTTTGAATCCTGAGAAACACTTGCCTGTGAAAACCACCAACTGCAGGAATATCATTTTTGCCATTGAGGGAGTTCTAGTCATCTGCTTCGGTGGCATTTACTGCTAAGTAGTCATAGGTGTTCAAGAAGGTAAGGCACTACGGGGTAGACGGGATCCTGTTGGATGCAAGAGGCAGTGCTCTCAATGCTTAAATCCAGTGTACAATTCCTGTTCAGTAAAGCCATGGAAATGTTTAAAACCAGAAGCTGTCTTATATTTGGCTATGTTATACAAGTCACCATTTTTAATACAAACAATCTAGCCTTAAAAAAAAGAATGGAGGTAGATGGGCTTAAAATGGACAACTTTATGCTTTATATGTCATAGTTATATTTCAGATTTGTACTGTGGAATTTATTTTGGGCTTGTGTGAATATTATAAAATATTTCTCCTACTTTAGAAACTAGGCTAAAATGCCAAAGTACGATAGTCTTGACTTCAGTTTTTCACTGGAATCGACATCCTTGGCTAGGAGGAGGTCCTCCACGGGGGTGGCAGGTACAGCTCTTGTGGGTGGGTTTATAAAAATATGGACTGTTAGGCTGAATGTACTGCTGTTTTTGGAGTCTTTTCTTATAGAAAAATGTAAATGTTCTCTCTTTTATACTTGCTGCAGAATGCAGTGCGTCATAATCTTAGCCTTCACAAGTGTTTTGTGCGAGTAGAAAACGTTAAAGGGGCAGTATGGACAGTGGATGAAGTAGAATTCCAAAAACGAAGGCCACAAAAGATCAGTGGGTACGTCCACCATGTTTGAACTTCTTAGCCTAGCTTGGATTGTGCTAACAAGTGTAATGTAGAGGCTTTGGCTGCTAGACGGTGTTAGACCACAGACCTGGTTTCACGTTGTCTCAGTTAAGGGAAGCAAAAAAGCATTTCATCCCTCCTGTTTTGTATACCCACCAGTCCCCTGCCCTGCTTGCTGGTCTTTGTTGCATCACATGCTAGTAGCTTTTAGGTGGCAATGCATATTAACCCTCACAAACCATTTGCTTATGCTTATTGCATTTTATTTTCTTTTTCCTGTTCCCTGTATTGGATGTCTGTTCTGCCCCCAACCCCGTCTCCTTTTGTTGCCACTTCATCTCCTTTGCTGCTGCTCCTATCCCAGGGTGCCATTCGCACCAACCTCTCACTGCATAAGTGCTTTATCAGAGTAGAGGATGAGTTTGGGTCCTTTTGGACAGTTGATGATGAAGAGTTTAAACGTGGCCGCCATATTCAACGAGGCCGTCCTCGCAAATACTGCCCTGATGAAAACTCTGACGAGCTTGTCGCACAGTAAGAGCCTTTACTTGCTTTTGTTTTTTTTTTCTGCTGTTGCTTTGGCTTTGCATGGTTGACTCATCCCATGTAGTTCTGCATTTCACCGAGTAGCAGTGCCACAGCTTTCTGCGATGAATCGTGTGTTATCTGTACATGTACTTCTCCTGTTTCTCTTGGGCACACCAGTGCCTTGAAGAATGCTTTTTTGACGTCTTAAATGCAAACATTGGTTGTATTTTGATTCAGCAGCTTACAGCGAGCCTTAACTAAATGCTTTTGTGTGACCTTTCATTCCTCTAAATAAAAAGGAAATTTGTTTTTAGAGTTAAAATGTGTATCTACTGGGGGTAAATTTCTTATTAATTGTTTAAGAGCATAATTGTGATGAAAGGAATGATTAACATGTTCCCAGTTTAGGAAACTAACTGATGAGATTGTGTATATTTTCTTTAGTGACTTCTCACATTTCCTATTGGAAGTCATTCTTTTCCCTCACCCATCCAATGTATAATTCCTGTAGTGTTATTTTACTAGGGTAGAGGTCTTCTCAAAAATGGTATCTTAGAGTCCTTTAGTCAGTAAATAGAGACAACACCAACTATTGTCACGCCCTCGTGGATCATGCCAAAAGTAGGTCTGAGCAGGCCTACGCCTGCCTTGGGACTGGCCTTCCCCAGCTCGTGGCAGGATCAGTGCCTTGGAGTTAGGAAGAGCTTCCTGCCATTCCTTTAGCTGTCAGTCCCAAGTCCAGACCGTGCTGATGCCTAAAGGCCCCCGGCTGCTTCCTCTTCAATCCCATGACGCCCTGGTGTCACCTCTTGGAGGTCCCAGTGCTATCCCCAAAGTGACACTCTGGTGGAGTAGGGTACCTAGTATGAGTCTGCAGAGATCTGTAACGGGAAGATCCAGGCTTACTGTGACTTAGCAGACTCCGCTGCCTTGGGTAGCAGTGTGTGTCCTCACAGGTGTGTGCCCAGACTATCTCCCTGAAGGAGGGCAGAGAAGAGCTTAACTGTGCAGGTTACATTAATGGGGAAATGACCAGCCAGCTTAAGACAACTGAGCTAGGGACTCGGGGTTCCACTGCGTTTAACTTTGAGTTTTTATCTTTTTCTTATACAGTAACCCTTCCCTTATTAAAAACATGCAGAGCAGCCACGCCTACTGCACACCTCTCAATGCAGCTTTACAGGTAAGATTAATGGCCATCCCGCATATGCGGCAGAGGCACATGTCTCCCCCACTCATTTCAAAATATATTAGCCTTGCTCTAATTAGATATTAAATTTTAATTCCGTTAAACTTTTTTCTTAAGTGCACAAAGCATCGTACTCCCTGGAGGCAAACACATCGGGCTGCTTCAGCATTAGCAGGATGCTTAGCATTTTGAATATTGTGGCAAAAAAATTAAAAGTTCACTTATTAATATTTATCAGCAGTATCATAATTTCCATCCTCTTATTTCAGAATTTCACTTGAGGCAAAAATACCACAAGTGTAATTACTCTAGCACAGCTATTAATGTGCGGGATGATAGGCCACTGCATCACATGACCTTCTATTGTTCACGGGTTTAAAGAAAAAGCAGAGCTTTGTATTTCTTCTTCCTTCTTTCAAGTCGCTGTGAGCATCTTGTCTCCTGTCTGGGGGGAGGAGCGGGGTTTGTTTCAGTTTGTAAGTACACTGTGTTTTTCTGTGAATCGTAGACATGCTTAAATAATCTGCTAGGAGCCTAAAAGAGTTTTCTTAAGATGACCTACTAATCACAGCACAGAATGTTGGTTTGCCAACACAAACCATGCACTTGTTACATCATCAATGAGCAGGAGAGCGATGACGACCCAGATACAAGCAGGCCTTCTGTTACATCTCTCCGTTACTGCACAGCAGCAGAGATCTCTTCATTAAAGTACCTGAGCATAGTAGTACAGTGTCCCTAGAGAGCTCATAACCATAGCATCTCTGTGGTCAGAACCCCTGTTTTGCAAGACGGGGATCCTGACAGTATACCACGTGCTATGTTTGTCGTCTGCTACCGCTGTGTGCCTCGGCAGCCTGCATCTTCATTGAAGCTGCTGCTTGGGTATCACGGTGCCTCGTGATGTGTTAGGGCCCTGTGGGAAAACACAACAGAGGAGGCAATGGTGAGAAAATAGTTGAGATCCTCAGCAGTCTGGGGACGAGTGTCGAGGAAGGGCTCCTACAGAGCTGTACCCCGCCCCCCCGCATGACGTCAGTATTGATGGAGCACCTGCCCCGCGCCCAGCGAACTGCTGCTCAGAGCACTGCAGTTCCAATACTGAATGTACTGAACTCACCAATGCAGTAATTATTTTGTCTGGATCAAATTTTCATACCAGAAACTACTTTCTGCATTTCTTTTAATTACTTGTCGTTTACACAGTAACTTTAGAAAAGTAAGTGAAAGCACGCTTAGATGCTGCCACTGTAAATACCATTCATTACTAACTTATTTTCCCTGGAGTCTTGTAAAGTACGAACTTAAAGGCTGCTCCACGTGGAATAGCATCAAAATTACAAGTGCATTTTACATTCGTGAGGCAAGAGAAAAACAAAACCAACGACCCTGTGTCCTCTGGATACTCCTCACTGTGTGACTCATTTCAATTAGTGTACTTGATTATTCTAGAACCATTGAACACATTTGCTTGTGGCATCCTCTGCACCGTTGGCTTCCTGTGGTGGTCCCAAGCTGTCCTGCCGTTTTCTAGGGACACGTGGTGTCCATAATGAGGCAAACGAATACACTGGTAGAGATGCATCGCTTATAGAGGGTGGAGTGTCACTGTCCTTGGTGGGCTTGCAGCCTTGAGCGGCAGACCATCACACAAGACAGCTTTCTGCTGTGTAAATTAAATAAAGATCCTACCAGCAGGCCTTCCTTTCCATTACCACCCATTTCCATTTTTTAAGATGAGTAAAAATAATAGTGGAACAATATCTTTGAAAAAAAATTACTAGAGCAACATAATGCAAGATACACAATTTATAAAATAGGACAGCAGAATCCACTACAGAAATAAAACATGGGACTTGGGACAGATTGCATTATGCTCTGAAAAAGTGGAGTAACTAAGGGTAACCATAAAGCTTCATATTTATAGACTGCCTTTTCCCTGAGGGTCCGGGAGTGGTTAATGTCCCAGAAGTGATGGTACTTACGGACGTCTGCGCCATTACTTAAGCACCTTCGTTTTTTTGGCAGAGGTGCCAGTGTGATAGGAAGCCATATACTATGTGCAGCAGCATTTATATAATTATCTCCATTGTAAAATCGGTGGTCCACCTGCTCCTAAGAGATTATCAGCTACAGAAAAGGACTACTTTGTCAGGCATAAGCATTTGCTGAACATTTTTCTAACCTCGCGGAGAGTCCCTCTGATCACTTGTTCGACAAAGTGTTCAAGAGGAGCTCTGTTGCGGTGCAGACACCAGGATCTCTTTGCAGCTCCTTTGATCCTTTTATAAAGGGACAGGTTTTCTTTAGTTACATCTTTCTTGTCTGCAAACCAAGGGATCTATTTAAATTTGCTTGCCTCCCGATGCCTTTCACCACTGTGGCTGCTGGATCCCATCTCATTCAGAGGTGGCCTTGACCATGCCAAAGTCATCTTTGAAAGCCAGGGAGACTACTCATCTTAAAATTGGTACCTTGGCAGTAGGGTGAACACCTCATCCTAGGGAATACATCCTCACAAGCATTTCAATTTTGTCATTCCAATTTTTTAGTTGAGAATTAAAAAAAAAAAAAGAAAGAAAGAAACCCTAATAATGACCTCACTTTTGCCTCACAGAGATTGCACAGTGCTGAAATTAACCCGTGAGAGCAGACCTTGCCACGGCTGCAGTAGACAGAGGATCGGGTGGTGGTCGCAGTACTTCCACAGTTGGGGAAGGTGTCACAATTAAGGGCAGTGAAGATGCTGTCCAGCTGGAGTCGGCAGCAGAATTCTGGCCAATGCTCTGGGAAAAAAAAAAAAAAAAAAAAGCTTTATTGCAATTACAAGAGATCTGCTGCAAAAAGTACTCGATTCAAATTATTTGACAAACTATCGGAGAGTGGGAGAATATTCAGATTTCCTATTCTTCAAAATGAGTAGTTCACCATGTTTGGAAGTAAAAACAGGATTTCTCTCCCCTCTCTCCAGCCCCATGTTTAAAAAGAAGGCAGTTAAATCCAGAGGGAGAGGCAATGAAAAGCTGTGGGCTTGTAGAGGACCTAATTTTGAAATAATCCATTGTCCAGCAGTGGATTTTTTTTTCCTTTAAAAAAGAAAAACACGCAGAAGTGGTATCCAGAAAGCATTTCTGCCTTTGGGGTATCTGCAGTGAGGGGAGCAGCAATTGTTACAATAGGCAATAGGCAGGTTCCTTGCAGCCAGCTTTGCTCACTTGCTTGCTTCATTTCTGGCTCAAAGCTTCCTCTCTTGTGCCAGGATTTCTATAGTAGCTTGGACTCCGGTGTGACTGGCCAATGGAAGTCACCAGTCCAGATTTTTCTCATGAAGACGGAAATCCAGGCAAAGCGTATTTTGCAAGAGGACAGTTTTAATAAATTGTGGCCCGATTAACAGCCACCAATTTTTGAAAATCTGTCTTCTTGAATAATATGCGCTTTCTGGATCAGAATCACTCCCCAAATGGAAGAGGTAGGGAAGTGTAGTCCCGTGCTGTCCTGGACTAGTGTACAGCTCAGAGTGGGAGGACACTTCACACAAACGCAGGACAGGAAGTGAACAGTGTCCCTCTGTGCAGGGGAGCTCCCCCCCAAACACTCATTGGAAGTGACTTTTGTCACCTTTAATATTGATGTACTCAGGCACCAAAAAGAAATATGATTTAGAGCTTCCTCCTGAGAGATTTTTCTTTAGTTCTAAAAATCCAGAAGTGACTGGTCAGCCTGTAAGACTGTGGTGTTACCTTTAGCCAGCTCTAGTTTTCTCAAAATACAGTAAGCAGATTCAAAAATCACTGAAACAGAAATGATTGGAAGAGATAAAAATTGATTCCAAGACTATAATCTCTTCCTTTTCCATAGGATCTAACAAGTAAATGTTTATGGAAGTTCCCATAAATTTGAGTGGTGCCTCCAGGTAATCTAATCAAATCTCCACTATCCAATAGTGGAGTCTTCAAAATGGATAAAGAAACGAAAATTCCATTATATTTCACCAAGATTGGGAAATATTCAGTTCTTCTTGGAGGGGGAAAAAAAAAAGCCTTGAAACATAAGCCTCATATTAGATAGTGTTGTCGAGAGCATGTGGTTATCAAGGATACTTCCTACCCCACAGGCATGAGGGTCTCCCCAGGCAGTTCTTTAAAGCCACGCTTTGACCTCACAGACAGCACACCTAGTCCAGGATGCATCAGCTTCCTGCTGGTGTGCAGCCTCAGAGGCAGCAGGTGGCAGCCCAAATACCTGTGCCCCTGCCACACTTTGGGGAGACTTCTGGGCTCCTGGCTTTGACCTGACTGTCCTAGCTGCTGCAGCCATGTGGCAAATGAAGATTTCTCATTTTTCGTTTTATCTGAAAGGCAGAGAAATGGAAAAAAACTAAAAAAACATTAAGTCTGCATTTAAACACCACTTCAAAGCAGAGTCCTTTTACACCTATTAGAAACTTTGCCAACCAGGCTACAAGGATCTTATGTGGAAGACTGTAGAGCTTGCCCATATTTCATCATTTCCTTGTATTGCTACCCTGTGTGTTCCTAAGTTTTCCTTTGGTTTGATGGCAGGCTTCGATGGCTGAGAATAGTATACCTCTATACACTACCGCTTCCATGGGGAACCCCACTCTGGGCAACCTAGCCAGCGCAATACGGGAAGAGCTGAATGGGGCAATGGAACACACCAACAGCAACGAGAGCGACAGCAGTCCCGGCAGATCCCCTGTGCAAGCTGTGTGAGTACTGTCCACTCAGAAGGCCTTGTCCTCTGAACATCCCTACTTCATCATTTGATAATTATGCTTCCAAAAAGGTACAGGTCTGTCCACTGGTGTATGAAAGTACTATTTGCTAACTTTCCCATAAAACAGTTTTATCCTGCCCTGAAAATGCACACAATAAAACCGGAAATATTTTTTTTTAGTGTTTGTTTTGCATCACAGGCCATTATATAACTAACACACATTACCTTTTTCTGCTAACGTCAGTGTGTATCACTATGGAAAAGTTTGTACTTCGCTCGACTTTCAGACATGCTGAATCCAGCAGGGAGCAGATAATGTTGGCTCTGCTGTGAGACAAGCTTAACCAAGAATGCATTGCTGCAGCATTATTACCAAGCATTAACGATGGCACAAATGAAAGGTGGCATGATTTATAGATTGCTCTTAAAATATCAAAAGGGAAATTAATAGGAGCATTACAGCTGCAGACGGCAGTGTAATGAGTGCACCTACAGCTGAATCAAGTGATGGGCGATGGTTGCCCATGCTGACCGTGACAGGCACCAGGGTCAGGCATCCACAGTGACAGCCTAGGCCACGCAGTGGAGATGCCCGTGGTGCTGAGTGATGCAGGGAGGGACCCTGTCTCCCAGGAACACCTTGAGCACAGAGCAAAACCATAGACTCAGTGGAAGGACAAACTCTCCCTTCTAGTCCATTCCTGTAAAACTCTGGCCCACTTTGACAGAGAAAACCAGTTCAACATTTGTAATGCTCTCAGGTCCCAGAACAGGCTTCTTGCCTACCATACTTCATGAATTACTGATCCACATCTTATTTTAAGATGTGAGAGATGGGAATGGAAAATATGACCTGTAGCAATTAGGCACAGAATGAATTGACACACAGTGACAAAGAGAAAAATGTTATCTGCCATCATAATTGGAGGATAGATGGGAATCTAAAATTCGCTTTTCCAGTAACTGAATTCATTCCCAGTGTGCTTTGAAAAGGATCTTTAAAACACGGCAACACTAATTTCTAATTGATAACGAACAGTCTCAACGTTCCCTTCACAACATTTTGCAATTGTGTTTATCTTTCACACTGATGCTGCTATTTTATCCTTTCTAAAGTTACCCGCTGTTTCTGACTTCATTGTCACAATCAGATTCATCTTTAAATCATTCTCATGACGGAAGTATTTACTCAGTTATTAAGGAAGTTCAGAGCAAATGTAAACTGGCATATTAGCAAATTTCAGAAAAACTCATTGAACAAAAATATCTGAAGCTGCTAACTGGAAGATACTAGTTGTCCTAATCTGTGCCCTCCAAGGCTTAGCTGGTGTGTGTTCTTATTATGTAACGCAAAGGATGGCTGTATTAAAAGCAACAGGCGGGGGAGAAAAGGGAAAGATGCTCTAATATAAAGTCTCCCTCCCAGGCAGCAGTTCAAGGTGATGCTAATTTTGCTATGCAAAATAAAATCACCATAAAGCTAACTGGTTCAAAAATTTTGAATTAACCCTAGTATTACTGAAAACAGTATCTATAGCAGTTATCATTTCTAAGAGACACCACACAGAGGGATCAACATGCCTCTCAGATGTCACGGGTATATAGTATGCTAGGTTTAGGGGGAGCCGACTCCCTCTGTGAAACTGCTAGCCCTGTTGACCTCAAACTTGCATTAAGCAACCTCTATAATGATATGGTTTTCATACCTATCCAAAATGCACTAGCCTGGTATGATGCAAAAAAAAAAAAAAAAAAGTTTACCTGTTCCAGTCAACCTTTAGAGCAAAACCTAGAAGACCTGGTTTGGATGGCGGCCCAGCTGATGTCTACCATAGACAGTTCAACTCCTCCTTCCTGCTCTCTGTGACCCTCCAACCCACTCTGCTCCATTTGTCTGCAGAAAACAGTCACAGGATTACGGCTTTGGGGCATCATACTTTCATCCTGTTAGGAGCTAAAGAAACTACAAAGCAAAATAGTCCACGCTGCGCATACTTTCCACAGAACACGATGACTTTAAACATTACTCAATTGCATGTAAACAAAGGAATTGCTCCATTGGGAAGGGAAGGGCAGTGTCGCTCTGCACGGTTGTTGCCTGGGCTTTGGAGGCAGCAGTCTGAAAAGTGGGAATTGGAGGGGTCCGCAAGAGGAGGGGGGAGGGTATGTGGGAGACAAGGTGCACTGCTGTGAGATAACACTGAACAGTCTGCCCCTTACCTATGGGAAGCTACTTGCTCACTCCCTCAATCACTGTGGGCCTCTAGAACTGCATTTGCCACCCCCAGTGATCTGCTAATTTGGAGAAATCTCCTAAAATTGAAACAAAGGGCCCACCTGGTTGTGCCGTTATATGGTCACACAGATCTAGTCATTCATGCTTGTTGGGTCTGCACTGGATCAGAGCTAGCAACCTGTGTCTTTGGGTTAGTCAGTAACTGCGGAGTTTTAGTGCCTGTTTGGAGAAGGGGGACTATATTCTCTGATGTTCTGAGCTGTACTGGGGGAAGGGAGACTTCCATGCATATAATTTTTTTTCTTAACACAGTATTTGTCACAATTCTAGAACCACAGAGCAAGAACTTAACACTGTGACTGCTCTTTTTCTTCCCTAGTCCCTCAACCTCCACGAAATTTCACACTGTGCTTCTAAATGTGAAACATTTAATTCTGATGGTTTAAAATAGGAAGGGGAATGTTGATGTAGAAAATGACATTTGAACCTCAGTATGTGGCTAAGTAAAATAAAGAAAAAAAATCTTAGCTAGTAGACACTAAGGCATGTGGTCATAAAGACAGAGGAAGAAATCTACAAAGTAACAATTCTTTACATTTGCCGGAGGCATCAAGAAATGTTCACCACTGTCATTGGTTCAAGAATCACAACCCAAGGTGAACCAGACCTTACCTTATGCCTAGGTAGCAAAATATTTTTTAAAAAATAATTACTTTCACTGATGAGATTGGGTCTACAACGGTACAGCCACTTTGGAAATTAATAATCACAATAAATATCCTAAGAACCATAAAGATGTTTTGGCCTTTGCCCCAGCAATTCCATTCTTAGACTTTCATCCAAAAGAGATAAATCACCAGAACTGGAAAGATTAATGGCTAAAAATGATCTCTACATTAACAGTGAAGGAAAAAAAGGGGGTGATTAAAAATGCCTAATAGAATGCAATGAACTCTCATACCATTGTAAAATTAAGGTAGGGAGAAAAAGTCCCTGCTTTGACTACAAATGGGAAGAAACAGGCAAAAATGAAAATCTGACTTCGGTAGGTGTTCACTTACGATTTCTTTTTCTAAGGATTAATAAAACACCTAATTCTTCCCAAAATGTATGAGATTCTACTGGGCTGGCCTCACAGATGTGTAGTGCATACTAAGGCCACCGCATTTAGTTTAGCCTTTTCCAGGTTTTGTAATACAGGTAAACAGGACCTTCAGAAAGCCGCATTATACCTGGAGCGCCCCATGTAAAGTGTACCATAATGCAACTCTGCCGTGCAGAGTTTTCAAAGAATATAGAGAAGACTTTTTGAATAGCTATTTATCTGCCATCTACCCCTCAAACTCTGCTGTGCTAATTTTAGAGTCAATTGATTCTGAAGGCTCATGTCTTGGAGGGCAGTCCAAAGAACTCCTCTGTTTGTTTTTAAATGGTTCAAGGGGCCTTTGGGGTTTGCATACAGCATTAATTATTTAGCAAGCCAACCATCCCCAGTACCTTCACTTATTGCTAATACTTGATAATGTCAATTAAAAAATCCTCCCATTTGCAAAGCCTGTCCCAGAAATGGGACTGTGTGAACTTGAATGGTTCTTTTACATATCAAAAGCCTGGTAACAGAAAGTAATTTGTATTTGCAAAGGATCAGGTTGTAAATATGACTTATGAACAACATTTCTCAATTGTCACCAGAGTGGGTTTGTGTGATCACCCCAAGTCCCCTTCGTGTGAACCAAACGCTGGTCCATAATGAGAGTGTTGGCAGATCTCACTGCGCCATGCATCCTGGTGGCCACGACCAGCTGGGCCTCATGTTTTGCCTTGTTTACGGCTGACAGTGTTATTATTCGGATTGGGCCTCTGCTTTCTTATCACATTGTTGTGTTGAGCAAGCCTTTTCCTCTCCGTTTGTGTTTCCTGGCAGGGCTTTTCTTGCCTTATTGACAGTTTGTAAAAATATGCATTAATTTGGAGTTTCAAGCATGTATCATGGTGTCTCTTTGCTGTGTTTGCTTGAAGTTGATTAATGATAGAACCTCGCTTGGGGTCGTCCTCTGGAGAGTTCTTTCACAGGTTCTGCATGTTAACTAGCAAAGCAGAACACACAGCAAGCCATGATTAGCCCAGCCTCCTGCACTCAGTGGTGCCCACAAACGGCTGCTGTATTACAGATTCTTATTTCACATAATTATTTGAAGATCGGTATTCATCACCCTGGATGCCACTCCGGGGCCTGTTATCTGATACTCCAAGTGTGGTTCTAGGATCGGCAGCATCACCTGGGAGCTTGTTCGAGATGCAGAGGCTCAGGCCCCACCCCAGACCTGCTGGCTTACACTGCATGCTCGTAACCAGGGACCAGGCTCATCTGAATGTGCATTGAAGTAGAATCAACTCTGCTAAGGACCAGAGGCCTGCTGCCGTCCCCAGAGCAGTCACCGCAGGGCAGTGCCATCCCAGAACTCCCTGCACTGTCCAGTATGGCAGTTACTGTCCCCGCTTGCCAACTGTATTCGGCATTCACTTTCATTGAGGGCGCCACGCAGCCAGCAGCTGCAGTACTGGACAGTGCATCCCTAGAGTGCGACATCAGTGTTGTCCCCTAACACCAAGCTGCAATGTCTCATTGAGCTTCTGCTCGCTTTTCCAGACACCCTGTACACGTCAAAGAAGAGCCCCTCGACCCAGAGGAAGCTGAGGGGCCCCTGTCCCTGGTGACGACAGCCAACCACAGTCCAGATTTTGACCACGACAGAGATTATGAAGACGAAGCAGTAAACGAGGACATGGAGTGAACGTCTGAGTGGGCCGTCCCCAAGAATGAAGATAAAACAAACACGTCAAAAGTTAGCAGTGAAATTGTTCTCCATTTGTTGTACAGTCTGGAGGATTTTCACTACATTTTGACAACTCTGAAATGTGTTAACTCTTAGTGCCATCAAGAATCCCATTTGGGAGTATTTTTGATTTTTCTACTTTTTGTTGAAAACAGGAATTTGTACTCTGTGCATCGGATGGACTTGTTTGGTACGTGGGATTTTCCTGTCTTAACATCAGTGTTGCGGATTCACTGAACTGATTCACTTTCAGCAGCAGACTTGGGCCTGCAGCCTGCCGACGCGGGCCGCTGCGGACACCGCCTGAGCGTGTGCGCCTAAGCTGCAGACCAAGCCTTTGCCCAGAACTTAAGGATTCCAATGGACGAACCTATTTGCACAGTACTGCATGTTGATTATCACTGCCTTTACTCCATTTTTGTTTTTTTGTTGTTGTTTGGGTGTTTTTTTTTGTTTGTTTGTTTTTTTGCTTCCAGTTGGGATGGGGAAGGCCTTTGTGTGTGTATTGGGGGGAGGGGTTAAAAAGAATTATCCCAAACTTTTTAATGTATTGCTTTTTTTCTCCCCCCTGCTTTAACTAGACCATTTTAAGTTCTGACCTCAGGCCTCCATCTGGGCCCATGGCCTCTTGGAGGCTTCAAGTTTTCTGTACCTTGTGATGAATGTTAATAGGTGTTTTTATTATACAAAGCTGAATGTCACTTCTCGTTTGTAGTTTTCTGTCACTCATTCCATTTCCCTTCAGACATCACCACATTTCTCGAAAGTCAGAAAACATTCCGTTTTGGTCTTTTTTCAAAAAGGTCCCAAATGCTGCACTCTACACATGAAGGTCCTACACATGAAGGTCACAGATGTGACGTCCTGCCAGAAAGAGAATGAATGACAGAAAAAAACAGATACACTCTAGGAACAATGAGTCATTCCACAGGGCAATACTGGGGTGCAAAGGGGGTTGTTTCAAATTTCCTTCTGGTGTTTACTTTCTGCAGCTACCCATCTACCTTTACAAATGCCACAGCATTCTGCCAGCACAAGGAAACAAACAGCAGCGACAAAAAGCATCCCATTGATTGGACTGAAACTATGGGGCAATGGACAGCAGTCACTGTTACAACCAATATGGGTGGCACTGTTTGCAAGATGGCGTTAAACTTCAGCTTGTCTGAGCAACTTTGCAAAACAGCAGGGGCTCCAAGTTTACACAGCAGTTCAGATCTGCTTGGTGGCATTGATGTGTCTGAATGCAAATTCAATTCCAGATTGAATGTGCATGGGAGTTCATGGGGGCTGATTTCAGCAAAGGCGAAAGTATTAGTATAAAGTGTGCAAACTTGGTACTGCAGTTCAGACTGTTAAGCACTATTATCACACCAACCCAGTATCAAAAAATAAAGGAAGACATTAGTTAGACTGGAGTTTTCCTTTGCCCTAAGCTTGTGGGGACTCCGACATCGACCTGCAGCCAGGATGTTGGCAGGTCAGTACGACCTCAATACCTCCAACTCTGCACCCACTTTCCTGTCATTTCTTCACCTAGGACCGTAGATCCTTAGTTTGAGAGCCTTTGGAAATTTAATTTATATTCTTCATACCTTTTTTCCCCTAAAATTACCAAAGATGTTACACAAAGGTAAATTATGTTCTGTTTTATGCTTTATCTAATGAAGCCAAATATCCTCTTATTGTTGATCAAAGGAGGCGAAAGAATTTAGAGGCAGATAATGAGATACAGGCTATTGCTCACTTGACAAAGAGAACTGCTCCTCCATCTTAGAATAAGTGTAGAAGACCAAGTAGGTAATGGAACCAAAGTTGTTACTTTTTTCCTAGCTTTTTCTTCTTTTTTCTTATTTGTTTTTCTGTACCACCAGCAAGACCAAAACTCATTTTTGTAGAGTGAATCATGGGGCTACAGAAGATAAGGCACAGGACCCAGTATGAAAGGAGTGCCAGAAGGGATGGAGTCCCATCACAAAGAAGAAATGTGTGCCACTGAAAAGGAGGGGATCCAACAGGAGACAGTGATGATAAAATTCAGAAAGAACAGAAAAGCTTCCATGATTAAACTAGATCACATGATAGTATTTCTAGAATAAAAAACTTTTTTTTTTTTAGAAAGACTGTATGCCACTTTTGTTTAAGAACTGTGCTATGCTCACTGCATTAATTTTGGTTTATCTTGGCAAGTAGCCTCTGGTTTGTTTCGTTTCTCAGCTTTTCCTTTTTCCTTCCTTTTCTCAGATTAGGCTTTGGTCAGCATTTTTCATTTATGAAAAGTAACACTCCCATCCACTTGTAAGCTTGGTATAAAAATCCTTTTTGGCAATTACTTTTGAAGCTTCAATCTGCTTTCTGTATAAAGGGCAGTCTGTGGTCACTCAAGACTTTTTTTTTAAACTTTTCCAGGCAGCTTCATGATGTGCAGGCAGTAGCCAGACAGGGTCATGGGAAGGGGGCCCTGTGCTTCTAAACTGAGTGGTTGCTGGTTAGTTTGGTATTCAAGAAGAGGATAAAAATCTGGTAGATTAGTTCATTCTCAGCATGTGTAGCTAGACATGAGTAAAGATAACAGCATGAGAAACTGTTAGTACGCATACCTCAGTTCAAACCTTTAGGGAATGATTAAAATTAAAAAAAAAATACATTTCACTCAGTTGCACTTAGTCGTATGTCTTGCATGCTTAGTCTAAAGACGGTAGCAAAAAAAAAAAAAAGGAAAAAGAAAATTAGATTTTTACATATCTTTGCAGGTATCACAGCCTTGCAGAAGAACCAACTGAAAAAAAAAATTCTCAGGCTTTACAGCAAGCAAACTTCACTATGATTTTTACAATTCTGACTCTGTATTCCTTGGGGTATCCCAGTCGCTTCTTTCGGATGGGGTTTATTATGTTGTACATATATCCCAATGTGTCTGTGTGATCTTTGTCTTTTTTGGGGGAGGGCAGAGGGTGGTTCTTTTTTTAGATATTGTTCCTAAAAAGGAATAAATGCATACACTTGTTTGTCAAAACACCTTTGCTTTTTGTGCAACTGCTTTGTATTAACGATACTTAAAAAAATATCTTTGGAAAAAAAAACTACTGTATGTAATGGAATTGCAGAATATGCTGCACATGTATTTTATTTAGTTATTCTTGCTTTACAAATATTGGATGACATTTTTTGACATGTAGGAGGGAGAACTCCCCCCACCCCCTTGGCTTTTAAATTGTAACATAGTTGACAGATTTTTTTTTTCTGACTTCATTGATTGGAGCATTTTGTACAGGTTTTTATGTGTGTCTGTGTGTGTGTGTGTGTGTGTGCGTGCGTGCGCACACCCTGCGTGCGCTAATCTGTTTTTTGATACATTCCTAATTCCTTGTGTTTATCCTACCACTGCCTTCCTGGCTATCTTAAGCAAGTTCATACATTTGAAAAGAAAAAAAAAATATTGTTTTAAAAAAAAATGTTTTCTCCTGCTGCAGTAAATATTTTGCATGATGAAACTTCCAGGGTTACACTTTCAAAGTTTATCAGTGAAGTAGTGGTTACGATGGGGAGTGTCAAAATATTGAATCTTTATATATATATATATATAAACCTTTACAAGGTGCCAAGATGTAAAGATAATTTGCTACTTATTTTTTTCTCAAAGAAAATTATACATGAGGGAAGTGGTCCTGTATATCAGACAAATGTGCTGTCGGGTGTGCGGATCCATGGACTTGTCCCTAGAATCTGTTCGTGTAACACAGTTAGGCTGCCTCACTGGCCCAGCAGTGACACGAGTACCTGAGAGGTAACTGCCAACGCTTTGGATGGCTCTGATATTACTGTTGATACCTACTACAGCACTGCATCGGACCTAGGGGGAAAAACCCACTGCAATTCTGACCCCCAAGTCTGTAAATCTCACTAGCTTTTTTTTTTTTTTTTTTTTTTTTTAATCACACAAAGTTTAAAAATATCTCCTCTCCTTTCCACACTGCATTTCCAAGGGTACAAGGATGTCCTTACTTGGAAGGATTTTTTTAAATCTTTTGGTACATTTTCTCTACTGACATACCTTTCTGAGACTCTGGTTGCTTTGAAAATCAGTTTCATTTTTTTTATCCGAAGAATCAGATGTGTAATTCTAGAGCATTCCAGGAGCCCCTTCTGGCCCAGGCCATGTCTGCTAGCCCAAGCCCTTGAGGATGGTACAGTCCGGACTGTGAGCATGGTGCTTCGTATATATGTGCTGCCAGTAACAAACATTTTTGTTTTGTTTTGTTTTGATAAGGCATAGAAACTCATTCCTTGACATCAACTGTAATTCCATCATTCCATGTCTGTGGATACAGACAATAAAAAAATATGTTGTGCAGTCAGTACTAATTACTGACATTATAGCATTCTCAAATGCAATAAAAATGCTGGTTGTTGACACTGGTAGTAAAAGTCGCCACAGCCTAAGTTATTTTTTTCCTTCCTTTCTGACCTGCTCATGTTGTATATTAGGTTGATCACCAGCGACTTCCAGGACAGAATTAAAATCAATCTTAATGAAAAGCTGTCATCAGGGAAGGGAGACGCGCGAATGTGAAAACGCAGGTTTCCATAAAGAGACCTGAGAAGAAAGAGGGGCTATCTTTTCTTTGGAGGAAATAACTCCTTACTTTTCTTCATCAAATTTTATAAAGAAAAACAAAATGTTTAATAACTAGCATTAAGTGCAAACTAAAACTTCAGAGGAAAGCAATTTCATGAATAATTCATCCAAATTTCACATCTGCAAGATTAGTCATCCAAATAAAATGCTAATGTCAAAAACATGCACCGTCTATAATATTCTCATCAAGAAATCTTTTTGCATATAATGATAAATGCTTAGATAAATGACTTCATAAAAATATTCTATCAAAAGTATGCCACATAACTGCATTCAGTGAAGAAAACAGAACGCTTATACTGAAGGATTCTATCAAACCATCCTAATTTTGAGTTTTGTTTTTTAACTACACCTTTAGGAAAATTTGCTATTTTAGTATTATCTTTATATATATATCCTAAGAATGAATGCACGCAAGCATCATCTTTTTGTAAAAATTAAATTGCCTGGGTATTGAAAGCATCACTTTTAAGTGGCCAAACCATGGTAACATAACACTATTAGGTATATAATTCAGAAGACAACACAATCCAATAAATGACTTGAAAATTAACCTCGCAGTGTGCTCGGCAAGTCACCCACCGATGCTGCATTCTTTTGAAAAACGCCTGTTTTAGGAGAGTTGTTTCTGGTCTCTTTTTTTTTTACAAGTGATTTTGCTATTTATTTTTGAATCAGTGGCCCTTTTTCATTACAGTTGTGCCCCAGACTAGAAACTCGCTAATCTTAATAGTAAAACATTTGAACCCTTCATTTTCACCAGCTTAATAAAGACAATAATAGGATTTAACTGCAGGTCCTTTAATTGCTAGGCTTAAGCATGACTCTGCTTCTAACATAAACGGTCAGTAACACTAAATATGTGTAGATACTTCTTTTAGCAAGCTGAAGGTCCCAAATCAAGCTGGGTGAAGTGTCAGTGAGGATTTTGGTGGTTGCTGTGGAGTACATGTTTAACTGTATTAACAGAGGATGCTCGCACACAAGAATCATCTACGTATATTGGGCCTGCCAATGAAAAACAAGGCCACAAACTCAACATTGTGGCTCTTATTTTAAATA